CACACACACACACACACACACACACACTCAGGCTGATCCTGGGTCAGCCGTCATGCAGCAGAAACATGTTGAAATGAGGATGTTTATGTAGGTTCTGTGTCTTCATAGATTTCTAAATGAGGTTGGTTCCACAAAGCATGATGAGAAGATCAGAAATGTGTCAAATTAATAACTGAGTTGTACACAAAGACTTTGGGCAGAGTGGATCTAATTACAATCTGTCCCTTCACTTTCATTTGACATGAATATTAGTCTTTTATTTCTTGATACTCTTGAACATGAGATGATGGTGAGGGCAGGTGATAGAAACACGTCTGGTAAAGATCTGGTAAACCTCGTTTAACATCAGTTAGAGATCAAACGACCTGCAGGGAACCACATAATAAGTATAAACACGGGATGAACAACTTGTGGAAGATGATTTGAACGCAGCCTAACTTGTTAGTTTTGTTGAGTTGTCGTGATATTTCACTCTGAAACGTGCTGATAGTCATTGTGATTCTCTGTCTGTCTCTCAGAGATGTAGCATGTGTGTTGGTGTGATCGGTGGACCATCATGCACCTCTTCGTGCTGCTGATCCTTCAAGCCACAGCAGCCTTCGGACAGATCGACCCCGGTATACACACACACACACACACACACACACACACACACACACACACACACACCTTACAGAGTGAAGTTGTAGTTGTGGATGTTTGGTTGGTGTCTGCAGCACACTGTCGCTATGCCCTGGGCATGGAGGATGGACGGATTAAAGACGATGACATCACAGCATCCAGCCAATGGTACGAGACCACGGGACCACAGTACGCCAGGTCAGTGCTGTGATTGGTTCAAGGAATACCTCGTGCTTAACATGAACACCTGTATATGACTCACCTCGTGCTACCTTGAGTTATTGAAGATAACATTGATCTCATCAACTGTTTTGTCAAAAATATTATGAACTGTATCGTTAACTGTTATTACCTGCTTTATAAACTGTGTGTGTGTGTGTGTGTGTGTGTGTGCAGGTTGAACCGTGAGGAGGGAGATGGAGCCTGGTGTCCTGAGGGTCAGCTGGAGCCTTCAGACAGTCAGTACCTGCAGGTTTGTGTCTCAGCGCTCGTTTGGGTTCAACAGTCTGAGGATTCTCATCGTCCTGTTCTTCACACGGATCAGTCCAACTGCCTTTGACTTAAATCAGAGTGAAGTTCAGATGTATCAGGAGAAGGAAAGTAGTGATTTGAGTTCAGAGTGAAGGACTGTAGGAGTAACAATCAGAAGACTTTATTGATTTGTACGTTACAGTTGCTCTTATATTTAAGCATGAAGAAATATAAGAAAGAATAATAAATAAGGGACTATTTAAAATATAATGTAAAGTGTGTACATCATGCTAGTATGATGTATGTATGAATGCAGTATTAATGGAAGTATTGCACAGTTGAATTATTGTACAAGTTATAGTACAGTTTAAGTTCTGACATTTCTGCTCATAATTCAAGAAGCAGAGTTCAGAGTTCTGTGTTAAACACAACAAACATACACACGAGTGGACCAGTCTTGTGTTTCATGAATGATTAAAGTATTATTAAGGGACAGTATGAGGTACTTCTACACAGTCAGTATTCCCGACAGTAGACAGGAACACCAGCCACAACACCAGAACAGTAGTTCAACACTAGAACACAGGAGCTGCTGGCCTCCTGCTCCTCCATGGGTTAGTTAGTTGGTGTTATTGTGTGACTTTGGTGTTTAAAGGGTTAACTCAGCTTCACTAAAGTCACACAACAACACAAACTAACTAACCGATGGAGGAGCAGTGAACCAGCAGCTCCTGTGTCCTGAGAGGTTACATTGCTGTTTCTTTAATGGAGTCTGGTCCTCTATATGTTGGCGCGATGTGCCAAACGACGCTTGTGACTTCAGATGAACGGACCTCATGGTCACGTCAGTATCTGTGGGTGCTGTGGGTCACCTGATGGGACAGAACCCTGTTGCTGTGTTCTTCAGGTGGACCTGGGCAGGTTGACCTTCCTGACGGTGGTCGGGACTCAGGGACGATACGCCAGGTACTCCGGGAACGAGTTCGCCCGAGCTTACCGCCTCAACTACAGCCGGGACGGCCTGCTGTGGAAGTCCTGGAGCAACCGGCTGGGCAACACGGTGAGCAACGCAAAGGCAACGTTACAGAGCTTTGATCTGAGGCTGTTAGAGCAGCGCTCAGGATGTAGATACGGCTCATCAACGTGTTTGGATAAGCAGCTCCACACACAGAACCCAGCTGACTACCACACTGTGTGAACTCCTCTGCTCTTGTGCGTCTCCAGGTGATGGAGGGCAACAAGAACGCCTACACCTCCATCATCAACGACCTGCACCCCCCCATCGTGTCCCGCTACGTCCGGCTGATCCCCGTCACCAAACTCTCCACCACGGTGTGCATGAGGGTGGAGCTGTACGGCTGTCAGTGGGAAGGTGGGACACACACACACACACACACACACTCTCTCACTCTCACACACACACACACACACACACGCGCACACACACACACTGTCACTCTCACACACACACACACACACACACTCTCTCACTCTCTCACACACACACACACTCTCACACACACACACACACACTCTCACTCTCACACACACACTCACACGGCTGCAGCTGTGAATAGTTTTGAGTTCTTATGTCGTCACGTCCTCTGTGTGTGAGGCCCTTCATGGTGACGGTGATCTCCTCTGCAGTCGGTGAACCACTAAGCTCTATAAAACCTGACACGATGTCCTTCAACCTGCAGACGGTCTGATCTCCTACGCCGCTCCGGAGGGTCAGCTCATGATGCCGCCCGGTTACCCCATCGCCAGCCTCAACGACTCCACGTATGACGGACCACATGAGAGGAGGCGAGTCCCCACCACACACACACGCATACACACACACACACTCACACACACGACTGTTTCCTGACGGGCCGTCTCGTCCAATAGGAGGCTGTTCGGCGGTCTGGGCCAGCTGACGGACGGTGTGATCGGCCTGGACGACTTCCTGCTGACGCGTCAGTACCACGTGTGGCCGGGCTACGACTATCTGGGCTGGAGGAACGACTCGCTGGGCAGTCTGGGATACGTGGAGATGGAGTTTGTGTTCGACAGGCAGAGGAACTTCACCTCCATGAAGGTTTTCACTTCTTTCTCTACCTCGTCACACGGCAGCGCAGCAGCGTCCTGTGATTGGTCGGGTTGTTTTAAGGAGCGAGTGAGCTCACATGAAGATGTCCAACGTCACAGACTTCTCATATTCGTGTCTTCTTTGAGTGTTTCTTCTTATGATTATGGCGGCAGTAACTTCACTAAAACTTAATTAAACTACAACCCCCATGAGGCTCTGACTGCTCGGATACGTTCTCACTAAACACAAACAGAAAAATCTAATTTACTTTTATGAATGCAGCCTCACTTTACTTCATTTTTTTCTTCTACTTGTCCTTTACTTGATATATATATATATATATATATGTATGTATATATATATATATATATATAAATATATAAATATATATATATAAATAGTACTGTATATTATTTACTTCTCTATTTAAGGAATTGACAGCCATATTTACTCTTAAAAATCATTTTACACCAAGAATTATATTTCTTTTGTTTTTGTTTCTGCTTGTAGTTTAGTTTAAACACAATATTAACATTGTTTTTATTATTTGTTTAATTCTTCTCTTGGGCTTTAGGACAGCTGTGACTGGCTGGTATTCTTATATTGTGTTATGTCATGTATTGTTGAAGAACATTAAAATAAATCACAGTCCGTTAAACCGCTTCAGTTTATTCTGATATTATATTTCATGACTCTGACAAAGTGAACTCTCCTCCGTCAGGTTCACAGTAACAACATGTTCTCCCGCGGAGTGAAGATCTTCTCCTCCGTTTCCTGTTGGTTTAAGCCCCGCCTCATCGCCGGCTGGGAAGTGGAGCCTGTGGCGTTCAAGACGGTGCTGGACGACAGGAACCCGAGCGCCCGCTACGTCACCGTGCCGCTCAACCGCCGCGCCGGCAAATCCCTCCGCTGCCGCTTTGACTTCGCTGATGTCTGGATGATGTTCAGCGAGATCTCCTTTCAGTCGGGTAACACACACACACACACACACACACACACACACACATATAAAAACACAAGCATATACACACACACATATATATATATGTATGTATGTATGTATGTATGTATGTATATATATATATATATATATATATATATATATATATATATACAAATGCACACACACACACAGATTCTATTTCCCTTCACACCAATGAATAAAACGTCCCTCCTTTGTTTGTCCCTCAGAGGACACCGTACTCCCGACCCCGGTGACTCTGGGGACGACCTCGTCTCCACTTAAGAGAGAGAGCACCATGGCGACCCCACCTGAGACAGGTCTGACCTCTGACCTCACCCTTCTGATCTCACATGAGATGAAACACCTGATGAAACAGCGTCATCGAGTCCTCTCCTCTCTCTCCACAGCAGCCAGTCCATCAGCCAGCGATCCGCCCGACGACGGGAACACGCCCATCCTGATTGGCTGCCTAGTGACCATCATCATGCTGCTCGTCATCATCATCTTCCTCATCCTCTGGTGCCAGTACGTCTGCAAGGTGCTGGAGAAGGTGAGCAGACGAAGAGATCCACAACGCTTTTATTACACCGGAGAAAATAAGTGTTGATTAATATTAAAATAAAATGAAGAAACAGCTGTTTAGAAAACATCACATCTCAAATGATCAACAAATCAAAAAGCTTTATGAGTTATAAAGGTTAGATCATTGTTCAATCAATCAATCAATCAATCAATTAATCAAGTGTTATTCAAACAAATCAAATACAGTTCAAAGTGCTCTACATCACATTACATTACAGTCATTTAACAGACGCTTTTATCCAAAGCGACTTACAATAAGTGTATTCAACATATTCAAGAGAACTACTCATCACCAGAAGTCATGAGTTCATCTCCTTTAAACAAGCATCTAAGAGCAGAAACCAGAGCAGACGTACAGAAACAAAGTAGTATCAATACAATAAGTGCCAATAAATATAATAAGTGCTGAGTGAAGGCAAAGTGATTGACAAGAAGGACATGGAGAGACTGCACAACAAATAAAGAACATAACAAAAATATAATGCAGCACAGAATGAATTGATCACGGTGAAAAAATTAAAACTGTAGTAAAGTAAAAGAATTGGAGCGTAGTAAAATAAGAAATGAAATATAAAAATATATATTCTTTAGAAAGCTGTAATAAAAGTCCTCTCATTCTCTCCTCCTCTCCTTCTCTCCTCTCCTCCACTCCTCCTCTCCTCTCCTCCTCTCCTTCTCTCCTCTCCTCCTCCAGGCTCCGCGTCGGATCCTTGACGAGGACGTGACGGTTCGTCTGTCCTCCTGCAGCGACACCATCATCCTCCAGACCCCCCCTGTGCCCCCCCGCTCTGGCCACGCCCCCACAGGTAGACAGTTTGATGCATAAATAGAAGAAAGCCGTCGCCATCTTGGTTTTTGGTCGTAAATGAGTGTGTGAGTGATGTGTGAACAAACCCCTCTGTGTGAACCTTCAGCACACAGAGAGGAATGAACGAGTGAAGTTTGGTGAATGTAAGAGCTGCTGAAGTGGAGATTTATCATCAGAGTCTGAGAACAAACTCATTGAGAGGAAACGTCCTTTAAAGAGACGTTTAGTTCCATTACAGACATTTAGAGACTCTACAGGTGAACACATGAACTCATAGATATCACCATGAAACTTCACCACTTCATCACTCACATGAAGAAGACTCTACAGGTGAACACATGAACTCATAGATATCACCATGAAACTTCACCACTTCATCACTCACATTAAGAAGACTCTACAGGTGAACACATGAACTCATAGATATCACCATGAAACTTCACCACTTCATCACTCACATTAAGAAGACTCTACAGGTGAATAGGGTCACAACATGAACTCACAGATATCACCATGAAACTTCACCACTTCATCACTCACATTAAGAAGACT